CTCATTTTTTAAGAGCGTCATCTCAAGCTGAGGCCAACAGTAAAACTGGGTCTCCTGCCTCCTAAGTAAATGTTCCAGATGCAGAGATCCGGCACAAAAGCCGGTCAACAGCATCACCAGCAGCCTGTGAAGTTTGGGCAGAGGTGAATACTGTTGGTGTGCACTTAGAGCCTGGCAGAGGGTTTCAAAAGCAGCCCTAGAGCACACCTTTCCTAAGGGACATAATTCAGAGATATGCACCCAAATGCCCTGCTAAACAGCCATTCACCTCCCCTTACAGTAATAAGACTTCTGTCACTTAATCTAGCTTTCAACTCTATTTTCACTGCCTGCAGCTTTGAAAAGGCAGGAGTAGATGGCACAGAGCTTTTTTCCAGCATTCTCTCTGTCTCATATGCCTATCTTCAACATTCAGGGAAGTGCATATTTCACAATATCAGCCAAGATGCTTTGCAAAGTCCCTAGATGAATATCTCTCCCCAAATACCATTTTAAACCTTAACCACTGTTCAGGTAGCAGTCTGAGACATCTAGGAGATTTACCTTACTCATTTACTTTTAAGAACCTGGACCTTAAAAACCTTTTTTTTTTTTAGATTTAAAGGATTTTACCAACAAAAAAAAAGTACCAGCATATTACACCATTGATGTGCTGACCAAATGGGCAAAGATGAACTTTTTACTGAAATAATTAAAGCATTCATGAAGGGTAAAAGGCACTATATTGGCATAACAGTTTTTAATTTTTGTTTTTTCTTTAAATTCTGAGTCTGTGTTGGCACTGTATCCTCTTTTTTGCATATCTTCAGCCATGCAGAAGCTCATGTCTACATATTCTAGCATTAGATATTTACACTGGTGATGCCAATTCCTTGTCAAGAAGTCAACTAGGTGTTGATACACCTACTGGAAAACTTTAAACGCCCATAACAATCTCAGCCTAGGCATCTGAGCATAATAGTGACTATAACCAGAGCAAGCTGAGTGGCAGCCATCCCTGGAACCAGGATGCCAAGGTTAATTTAGTTTCAGAACCAGCAGAGTTGCATAGGAGAGTTTTGAAGGAGCGGTGAAAGGCACCAAAAGTCTGGTTCATTTAAAATCATCTGATCTTCTTTATAGTTAATCATTATATGAAAACTTTTTCAGCTCAGAAAAAAGGCTCAAGAAAATAATTCTCCAGCTGGTTTTTGCTGATAACTAGAAGCTCTAGGAGAAAGCTGTAACTGCGTTCTCCAGGAATTCCTGACTACTAGCCAAAGCAGCCCTCCATATTATATGACTGTAACAAGACTCTTCTTAATAATATAGTAATTCATGCATGAAGACACTCTCATATATGTTTCATAGCCAACCTTGCTTAAAATGCATATCTGTTTTTCAACTCTTAGAGATACCTGATATGAATCTAGAGAAGTACATAATCTTCCAATTAAGCCATCTAAAAGGCAGGTATTCAGAACTGATGAAAGCAAGTAAAATTATATTACATCTTCCTCAATCGCTATTAATATAAAAGACTGTAAAATTTAGAATGGGGCTAAAAGGGTGAAGTTTTTGCCTAAAGAGTTGCTCTGCAAACTCATGTACAGAAATAATCTTGGAAACATGTTTGCACGTATGTTCAGTTGTTTCATATTCATCAAGTTGACCATGCTTTCAGACTTATGCCTACAGCTCTCTCCTTCCCCTAAGAGAAAAGACTTGGTGATATAAGCTATTGGTAAGACAAAGATGAATAGAATAGAATAGAATAGAATAGAATAGAATAGAGTAGAATAGAATAGAATAGAACAGAACAGAATATTTCATTTGGAAGGGACCTTCAATGATTATCTAGTCCAACTGCCTTGCCAGTTCAAGACTGACAAAAATTTAAAGCAAGTTACTAAGGACATTGTCCAAATGTCACTTTAACACTAACAGTTTTGGGGTACTGACCACCTCTCTAGGAAGCCTATTCCAGTGACTGTATATCCTCTTGGTAAATAAATTATTTCTATTGTCCAGTCTGAACCTTCCCTGTCACAGTTTTGGACCATACCCAAGCTTCCTACTACTGGGTGCCAGGGATAAGAGATCAACACCCTTTCTGTTTCTCCTCTTCAGGAAACTGTAGAGAGAAATTATTTTTCCCCTCAGACTCTCTCTTGAAACTAAATATGCCCAAATTCCTTAATCACTCTTTATAGGACATTGCTTCCAGCCCTTGCACCACCTGTGTTGTACTCATCTGGACACATTCAAGGACCTTCACAACCTTCTTAACTTGTGGGGCCCAGAACTGCACACTGCACTCAGGTGAGGATGCACTAATGCTGGATACAGTGGATTCAGCACCTCTTTTGATCAGCTGGTGTTGCTTTGTTTGATGCACCCCAGGAAGAGGATTGCCCTCTGGGCTGCCAGGGCTCAGTGCTCACTCACACCGTGCCTGCTGTCGGCCAGCATCCCCAAATTCCTTTGCAGGGCTGCTCTCCAACCACTCTTCTCCCAGTTGTGCCTAGGATTATTCCATTCTAAGTGCAGAATTCAGCATTTGGACATGTTGGATTTCATGCCATTAATCACAATCCAGTGCTCCAATCTATCTAGATCCCTCTGCAAAGGCCTCTTGTCCCTCAGCACCTCCCAGTTTATATCCAACAAACTTGCTAACAGTGCATTGAACTCCTGCATCCTGATCATTGATGAGTACATTGAACAGAACTGGCCCTAGAACTGAGCCTGAAAGAACAGCATTGGGGACTGTTGTGGGCAACCAAATCTAGCCCCACTTATTGTAGTAAAAACCCCTTTGATCTCTGCCTTTCAGTCAATTCTGCACGGTCAACCCACAGCCACGAGCGTGAGGAAGTCCCTCGACTTCTTTGACAAAGTATTCATAAACAATCACTTGATTGGATCTGATAGTTTCCTTGATCTCATGATTTTAAAAAACACATCCAAGTTGTCAAAAAATCCAAAATCATTCTAAATAATGAAGTTAATTTTTCTGTCTGCTGTGTAATGGCTCATAATTTGTGTATTTTGTAATCAGTAATCATTTGTATAATGAGTACAACTCTGTTTGTAGGTCACATAACGCCTGCTCATCTGAAGAAATATACCAGAAGACTGTCTTAACTGCCCAGAATTTCACTGATACTTTACAACTCAGCTACTATGTTTTTCTTGTATCTTTATGAACCAATTTCTATTTCAAATCCATTTCTCCAACTGTTTAATTAGCAACCAAGTAGATTTAATTAATTAGCTAGTTAGATGTGAACCATCAGGAGAAGCTGAAATGAAAAAACGCTCTGCTGCTTCTTTTCTTTCAAAAGGACAAAACATGATTTGCAAAAAATCTTTCAAATATCTTTTTACTTCCTATGGAAGTGTCTGTGTTCACTGATGAAGTTAAGGATCTATGAAATTTTCCATTATAAACTAATTTTTGAGCTCCTGTGCCTTCTGAGCACTGAAACAATCCATCTCAAGCTGAAACAGCCTACAAGGTCTCAGCTCAAAGGAATTTTTTTTTTCCTCAGAGAACAGAGAAGTTGGAAAAAAATACTTCTCTAGGCATGGCAAGGTGGGTTTCTTTTTTCATCTTACCATTCTATATAACCCAAAGCCTCTCATTATTTTTTTTTTCAAATATGACATTTACCACCCAAAAACATATAGGAACTTACCATCTTGTGCTTCAGTTAAAAAAAAAAACAGAAAAGAAAATGCAGTGGTTGTACAGCTGGTGACACACCTTGAAATTCAATAATTCTTTATGAGCAGTAACTGTTCCTTTGCACATTTTATTGCACTGAAAGGCCTTAGGGATCCATGAAGCACATACTGCAGCAATGGGTTACACTAAGGCAGTTTTCCTGAGATAATATTTTTCAAGCACAGATCAAAACAAATGAATACTGTAGTCACACTAAACTGTTCATCACATAGTAGCTTCTATAACTGATGCTGGTTTTTTTTTGAAAACTAGTAAATAAAATGAAATTTTTTTTGTGAGGAAGCAGTTGGATAACAAAAAAGTGATCCATGAACTGTAAGTGATTCTGCTTAAAACAGTCTGAACTTCTCTCGACCAATTTATGGTTCTAGCTCAGACAAACCTATAATTATAAGTATATTTTTTATTCTTTAAGCTATTCACTCTAAAAATACTCTTTCATGTCCCAGTGATTTTTCTTCTGGCTGAACAAAATTCTGTTGCATTTCAGTCCTCTCTATATTTTATTCTCTTCTGTATATTCATGACCTTCCTTACATCTGGTTAGTCCCATTTAATTCATGGAAAGAGGAAGAAAAGGTCACACGGTCATTTTAGGAGTTAGACTCCACGTATGGGTTTTCCAAAACAGTCTTGGTTTGTGTCAGTGTCAAGTTTGGCCTTTCAAAAAATTTAAGTGTGTATTTTTTCTGTTATCTTATGTAAAGATATATCCTCTGCTTTATTGTCTCCTTTTCCCACAAAAGCAGACAGAAAGTTGGTTGATATCTCAGAATGAGAAGGGGGAGCAGCATGTATCAGCATATCCCAGGAAACAGTTTTTAATAGTACTTCTGTCTTACTATTGCCTTGCATGTGCTCCAGGGCAGATCATTTGCTCACTCAAAAGTTTGAGTTTTTCTCTGTAACAAAAGGACAATATCTCATTCTTGATAAAGGACTTCAAGAGCTCCAGGGCAATATTCTGTGTTATTATCAAATGTTGCTCTTTCTACTCAACTGGGTATATATTTAAAGTGTTTTTGAAGCATTTTCACATGATAAGGAAATGTTAAGAATGTGAAACAGTTGGCTGCAGATCTCCTACTTCACTGTTGCTTTTTCTGGATACATTCCTGTTTCATACACAGGGATGAAGTGTAGCCTTAAAAATGGTGCCCTGGAAAGAAGGAATCATCCAGTTCATACAATCAGTCAGAGTTCCTAGGTGTCACACAGTAAGAGAATTTCAGAATTCAGTGTTTGATCTCAGTAAGAATTGTATACATACTTTTATTTCACCAGAGTCACACCAGGATTACACTTAGGAAAAATAGCATGTGGTGGTAGAATTTGAACACCCTGTAGAAAAAAAAGAAAAAAAAGTTAGATTGATAAAAGTATTATTTAGATATATAAGCTCTCATAAGAATGGGGACTTACTTGCCTTCATGGGTACGACATTTGCAGATCTGACCCTATTCCCTCTCCCAACAACCAGATATAGAAGAACTTACATGCATAGGGTTGCATACTTCCACCTTTCTCATATAAAATCCTCTGTAAGGATCAGGCACATTTGAAATTCATCTGTAGAGGATTATAGAATCATAGAATTATTTAGGATGTAAAAGATTCTTAAGCTCATTGAGCACTTCTGAGTCCACATCTAAACCATGTCCCTAAGTGACACATCTACATGTTTTTTGAATACCTGCAGGGAGGATGGTTCCACTGAAGAGTCTGTTCCAATGCTGGACAACACTTGGTGAAGAAATTTTTCCATTTCAGGTTATTGTAGAGAGCAACAAATCTCTCAGCCTCCTTTTCTCCAGATTAACTAACACCAGGTCCTCATCAGACTTGTGCATCAGACCCTTCACCAGCTTCATCATCCTTCTCTGGACATGATCCAGTGCCTCAAAGTCCTTGTGGTGAGGGGTCCAAAACTGAACACAGGATTTGAGATGCAAGCTCACCAGTGCCAAGTACAGGGCAACAATCACTTCCCTGGTCCTGCTGGCCATACAATTGCTGATACAATCCTGGATGCCTCTGGACATCTTGGCCACCTGGGCACAGTCCTGGCTCATGTCCAGCTGGGTGTTAACCAGAACCCCCAGTCTTTTCCCACCAGGGATTGTTCCAGACACTGCCCCATGTCTGCGGCTCTGATGGGGTTGCTATGACCCAAATGCAGGATCTAGCATTTTGCCTTGTTGAACCTTGAAATTTGGCCTCAGCCCATTGATCCAGCCTGTCCAGATCCTCCAGTAAAGCCTTCCTACCCTCCAGAAGATCAACACTCCCACTCAACTTGGTGTCATATGCAAACTGACTGAGGGTATATTCAATTCCGTCATCCAGATCATTGATAAAGATATTAAACAAGACTGATCCCAATATTGAGACCTGCAGGACACCATTTGTGATCATCTGCCAACAGAATTTACTTCCATTCACCACCACTCTCTGGGCCCAGCCATCCAGACAGATTATAACCAATGAACAGCACACCCACCCAAGCCATTCTCTTTCTGCAGGAGAATGTTGTGGGAAATGGTGCCAAAGTTCTTACTAAAGTCCTAGTAGACACCAGCCATAGCCTTTACCTCATCCACTTACTAGGTCAAGACTAGGCTGGTTAAGCAGGAGCTGCCTTTCCCACCCCCTGCTGGGTGTTTCTGATCCCCTGTCCTGTAGGTGCTGCATGATGGCACTCAAGATGATCTGCTCCATGACCTTCCTCAGCACCAAGGCCAGGCTGATAGGCCTGTAGCTCCCCAAATCTTTCTTCCATCACTTCTTGTAGATGGGTGTCACACTTGCAAACCTCCATCCCACTGAACCTCCTTGGTGAGACAAGACATCTGATAAATGATTGAAAGTGGCTCCTCTACCAATTCTGTCAGTACCTTTGGGGGATACCATCTCATCCCATAAGTCTGTGTGTGTCTGAGAGTAACAGATCACCAGATCATTTCCACAGGGTTCTAGGGGCTTCATTCTGCTCTCTGTGCCTGTCTCCTGGCTGAGGGGCTGTGTACCTAAAGAACAGCTTTTGTGTTACTATTAAAGACTGGGGCAAAAAAATAGTGCAGTCTTTTCCTCGCCTTTTGTCGCTATGTTTCCCCTTGCATCCAATAAAAAGTAGAGATTCTCCTTTTATTCCTGATGTATTTGTAGACCCATTTCTATTGTCTCTTAAGTTCTGTTTCATGCTTTTAACACCCCCCTGCATAACCTCATGACATCCTTGTAGTCCTGCTGAGTTGCTGCCCCTTCTTTCAAAGCTCATAAATTCTCCTTTATTTCCTGAGTTCCAGCCAAAGCTCTCAATTCAGTGAGGCTGGTCTTCTTCCTCAACACCCTATCTTTCAGCCTGCTCCTACGCCTGTAAGATTTCTTTCTTGAAGAATGTCTAGCCTTCCTGGACTCCTCTTTGTGCTTCAGTACTGCCTCACATGGGACTCTCCCAACCAGTCTCCTAAAGAGGCCAAAGTCTCCTCTCTGGCAGTCCAAGGTAACTGTTTTGCTACTACTCTTATCATTTTTTTTTTTTTAATTTCTGTGCCCAGGACAGCTTCTAAGCATCACATCACTTTGTCCTTCTTTGTTCAAAAACAATGGGTCCAGCAGGGCACGTTCCCTAGTTGGGTCACTTAACACTTGTGTTAAAAAGTTCCACACATTCCAGGAATCTCCTAGACTGCTTCCTCTCTGTGGTGTTGCATTTCCACCTGTTAAGTTGAAGTTTCGCATGAGAACGTGGTTAGTAATTGTAAGATTTTTCCCAGCTGCTTATAGAATATTTAATCTGCTTCTTCATCCTGGTTGGGTTGTCTATAACACTCCTACTATGACATCTTCCTTGCTGGCCTTTCCCCTGATTCTTACCCATACTCAATGCTATTGACACCATCATTAAGCCCTGGACAATCAAAACTTGCCCTAACATACAGGATCATTCCTCCCTGCTTATCCCTTGTGAAGAGTTCATAGCCATCCATTGGAGTATTCCAGTTGTGCAAGTCATCCCACCATGTTTCTGTAATGGCAATTGTGTCGTAGTTCTGCTCTTGCACAGTGGTTTTCTGTTTGTTACCCGTGCACTGGTGTAGATAGACATCAGCTTGATTGATCAGTTATTGATTTTTGGGGGAAGAAATTCCTGCATAACCATTCTCTCTACACTAACTAGCAAGTAGAATGCACAAAACCAGGTAACTCTCAGACCCATTTTTGCTGTAAATCTTTCAAGTGCATGTATTTGGTGTTACAATGCAAATCCAAAGTTTAACCTCGTTCTCCATTCACTAGCTCAGAGCCTGGATTGCTAAATACATGTTGTGATAGAGTTGTGTGGTGGTTCTTCCCACATCAGAATCAGAGCTGTCTTTGAATCAGCTGTCTTTGACAGCTGATACTAAGGAAAATATTAAAACATAATTTCTATTCAGCCAATGCTATTTTTTCTCCTGGAAATTAGACAGTTTCCCTATGAAGTTTTTAGACTACATACAGTAAGTTTTAGTTGTCTTTAAGGGAGGGAAAATCTTGAAAGCTACTCCAACTATTTCTCTACACTAGTTCTTGAAGACATTTGGTACAACCTCAACAAGTAGATTATCCTGGCATTTGAAAAACTAGTGAATGAGAAATTTACATGTTAAAACCTCATAAATTCTGTCAAAACAACTCAATATGAGTAAGTGCACACACTCAGCCTGTTGGAAATGCCTGCTGGAATTTGGCTTACTGCGAACCTCCATATAAAAGACAGTAATTTTCAAGGCCCTTAGCTTCTGTCCAAAGTAGATACAGCCTTTTAGGGGTCTTTGCTTTCATGCTTGATTTTCAGTTTTGGTTTTTTTTTTGCCCTACAAGAACATAATTTAAACCAAAACATTTTTTCTTCTCCTTTATTCCCATTAAATGAAAAGCAGAGAAATTCACTTTCAGCTGAAATAGTATTTAATTCATAGTCCTGTGTCTAAAGTAACACAGCCCGGAAGGAAAAGGTTCTCCAGTCTTCACACAAGGTGCCCTTGGGACACTGCCCAGACTACAGTTGTGTGATTATACCCTTCCCACAAACGCGAACCCTAGGGAAGCAAGAACTGAACTTTTGGTTCATTACAAAATAAATAAATATAGCCACTGAAGTTTTTACCATTGGAAATGAAAAACTCATGCTGGATACAAAAGTAGATTGGAATTGGAAACTCATCACAGATAAGAAAGTAGAATATGGTAATTTCCATGTTTCGTCTCTTGAGAGCTTGTCAAAATAAATATATTCAGAGACCACATGCAGATGCTCTCATCATTTTAGGCATTGTGCACAACCATATGAGAAAGGGATTAGCACAACAGAAATAAACAGGCCTTTTCTTAGTTCTTTCAAAGACATGGTGGAAGGAAGGAAAAGAATCTCTCTTCTAATTAGGAGGAAAACAAATGAAAAAATTACTGGACTAGAAAAAAATAAAAGAACCAAAAGCAGAAAGAAGATTCAAACTTTTTACTGAACTTTTACAAAGGAATCAGAATGAAGGGATTGTAGTAGATATTCTCAGAGACAAATCCATTTTCTTTTCACTCAAGGAAGAACAATTTTTTTCGGTGTCCGTGCCAACTCCAATGCTGACATAGTTATATTTTCAAGGTATCATTTCTTTTTCATTCTAAGATAAATAACTTTCTTATTACTATGTTTGACTGATGTTCATGTGTTATTTTTATGAAAGAGAATAATTTCTGAGGATATGTAAGGTATCTCCCCCATTTTACAACCTTTAATAAACAAAATATCTGTGTTTCTTGTATCTTGACACTATCAGCAGTACATATTCCCATACTATAACCCAATTTAACTGTTAAAAACATTGTACTTCATACTTTTGAAGTAGCTATTTTTGATTTTTTTTCCTTTGCTTATGGAAAGAATTAGTGAGAAATAATAAAAGGTGCAGCCAAATGCTGATTCCTGACCTTCATGATGCCTAAGCAGAGAATACCAGTGTCCTTTGCCCAGCAGTAAAAGAAAGGGTGGCAACAACTTCACCATCACTGGGTTGCTGGGTCTGTGCTGCTGCACATCCGGAGCCATCCTGCCTTTCCTGCAATGGAGCAAAGAGAGTTCCTAAGGAGCTACAGTAATTCCTGTTTGTGAACTATGCTGGAGATGGTGAATTCCTTGGCTTTTCAAATTATGCCGTGTATATATATTGCTTTCACTGATGTGAGGTTCTTGGCTAATGGCTCACAGAATCAGAAAAAGGGACACCACACAGGACTTTTGATATACATTATTTTAAAATAGCCTATAAGAGAGAATATTTGTATAAAGTTATATTTGAGATTTTCCAAATCACCTAGGTACCCCTATAGATCAGGTCTATGTTCACAGAATCATGGAATATTCTGATTTGGAAGGGACCTACAAGAATCATCATGTCCAGTTCTTAAATGAATGGCCCCTAGAGAGATCAACCCCAAAACTGTGTTATCAGAGTCATCCTCTGACCAACTGAGCTAAGGCAGCTCTTCCAGAAACCTTTTAGAAGTTTGCACTCTTTAAGAGTAGCAGAAGAAGCATACCTTAACACCTTTGTAAATCCAGGCCCCAGCTCGCATCAAATTCTAATTACCTGCAGGATCCTCTCTTTCTAAGGACCTCTTTCATAGCCATGCCATTTTTTCACAGCACCAGAGATGACCATAAAACAGGGTCCTATTATTAGAGTATAAAACTTATTTTATAACCTTAATTCATGAAGGCCTATTGAAATCAATAGAATACCTCTAAATTTCATGCTTCACTATTTATTGTAATTTTGCTTATATATAAGAGATAAATACAACTGGATTTATTGTAGATCATTGGTCACTGAATTTAAAACAGATACACTCGCTTTTGCCCTTACTGAGTTCTGCTTGACTGAAGCACAATTTCTGGAAAAACATTCATCTTTGAGATGAGGCCATGGAGAACCTAATACTTCATTCAACAGTAGTTTGTATTGCTCAATATTAGTCCTATGAATATGCTGAATTTTTTTTTCCTTTGCATATTTGGCTTCAGCTTTCATAACATGATTGTGTCTTCTCCTATAGTACACACTTTTGATGTCAGGTTTTGATCTTTTTCTTTGTTTTGGGTTTTTTTCCAAATATTTCTAGCTATCAATAAACACTGTAAGTTGCCTCACTGACATCTATTTTGTAAGTCAAACTAGATGACTGAAGTCTTCAGGCAAACCTCACAAACTTTGCAGTCTTCCTTGCAAACCACTTTTTTTTTGGTTCTTTTTTCCTCCACACTCTTCGGTTTCCAACATCCTTTTGAGGATCTGGAGACCAGAAGACTTTGAAATAGAGACATTAATCCATACATCCAATTGTTTTAATTCTTCTTACTGCTTAACCTGTATTCACATGCAGAATCTCCTAAGGCCTTTTTTTTTTTCATAATATTAAACTTCCTCAAAAAATTTTCTACAATGAGTTTCTCAAATTAGATACTCACATCCATATCTACTACTTCAGCCTGGTTTTAACTGACACCATTTCAGCATGATCTGTGTTTATAAGTTCTGTATTCAATAAGTACTTACGAACATCTTGACTTACATGATATCTCATTTTTCAGGGTCTACCCTTTGATCAACTCCTACATGATGCAACAGTCTCCTTAACAGTGATTTCAGAGGAGTTTTCACTTAATGCAAAATGAAACTCAAATATTTCCAAAAGCCCTTGCACATATGTTAATGATGCTTGGTTTATTATCAATGTAGACTCTGGTGGGAGAAGCAGGATCAGTGCATAAATCCTAGTCTGTAAATTCAGTGAACCAAAAGGGGGTAATCTCTTTTCAGTGATGTGGCTCTCTAAGCTTCCCAGGGTCCTGGATCCCATGGAAACTCAGGGATAAACAAAACATATATGTAATGGGATAGGAAATGGTCCTGGGTTCTAATTAGTTGTTTTAATAAGCTTGTATTCAAATTTTTGTCTGTCTCTACTGAAGTTCACAAGTTTTGCAGTGTCAGAAGTTCCCCATTTCTCATGGAAACCTGACAAATGTGGAACAAGCTCCATTCCTTTGCTACAAGGAGAACACACATTGGCCTAGCCCCAAAGAGGTATCTCAAAGGAGTTGGTTAAAGCCATCAGCCTGTCTGGGCTTGCAGGACTGAGACCTGGGACTGCTTGTGTTGAGAAGCAGGACAGCCACATCAACATACATACTCCAAAGAAAAACTCCTGTTGAAGTTGTAGCTGAATGCCTTATCTCTTAAAAGCGGACGAAGGAAGTAAATTCACATAGACAGTGGAGCTGGTTCAAGGGCCATCCAAGTAACTCACAGTAAAGTTCTAACACAAAACTGGTGGTGGAAGTGTCTGAGGAGCCCCTTCATACTCATGGGGTTGAGTTCGTAAGTCATCTCTAATCAGAGACGAAAAGACATATTTAATAAATGGAGTAGAGGAGAGAAAAACATCCTAAAAATCCCCTGTCATTTACCTTTTACAAGTACAGAAGTCCAGAGGCTAAAACTCAGTAGAACTAAACCAGAATTGAAACATTTTATATAAATAGTCTGACCTGATGCCCCTTCATAAAATGGGACAACACTACCATGAAACAATGGCTGTTTTTCTCCCTGCTCCCTCTGCCAGTGTTTTTCCAGGTTCCAGAGTCAGTGTGCCATGAAACGCCTGACCCCTGGCCAAAACGCTCTCACACAGTTACTTTTTAGATCTAAGTGTATTCATCTTATGCTTTGACCAGACCTTACTAGATCAATAGAACTAAGCTTTTCTTCACTGGGAGATATGTTTGCCTTTATCTATGGCTGAATTTTTTTGAGTATTTCTAGCCTTATTTAGCTCTTCAGCTGAAAACAAAGTACCCTGACAAAAAGAAGACCAACATTTGAAAGAAAACTGTACTTTCATCACAGACTTTCTTCTATAAGCTTCAAATTTAGTGAGAGACTTGTGGCTCCATATCTGTATACAAACAAGGAAAACCTTTTGACCTCTGTACTTTCTCATAACTATATTAAAAGACAAAAGTTTTTACTTTTTTTTCCCATGAGGAAGATTTCCTTCCCTTTGAAGATACTCCATCAAGATAAAATTTTCTTACACCAATATACTTTCACATAAATATACTTCATTTTGTTTTCATGCCAATCTAAAGGGAGTAAGAATGGAAAACTCCAAAGCTGATTTTAATAAATTAATAATAATGATGCTATCCTGTTTAAGTTTCTGCATGTGCTACTTGGTATAGAATAACCCCAAGCAAAGACAG